TTGGTCCCGTACTGTGCAGTCTCCTGCTCCCAGGCCGACCCTGAGGCTGCATGTGCAAAGGTGCCCACACAGAGCACTGTGAAGGAGGTAAGTGGAAGTCAGCCCCAGAAGTTCCCCACTGCCACCGGTGGATTCTTTATTTCTGCCTCAGAGGGTGCAGCAGGGACAAATAAGGGATTCCTGGGGATACTGGAGCACACTGCACAAAAAGCTTAAGGACATACTTCACTGCTCAATAGTCAGACTGGGGGTATATGTGCACATGTTTTTCCTCCAAAACCTATTTTTTATGTTAAACTTCAACACAAAAAGACAAAAATAAATTAAAAATCAAACAAAACACATCTTTATCAAATGTTCCATTTTTAAAAGAATTGCAAAGTTTCATTTTAATAGTTTGACAGCCCTGGAGACTGATGTCCTAATTATCCTCACAACAGGTGCACATTGGCATTTTCCTGCAAACATGACTAAGCCTAGAAGTGGAGAGCCCTCTCTTAGAGTAGATGGTAATTAAGAATAAAAGCTTCTCAAACTGCAGTCATTCAATTGAGACACGCATCAAAGGGACTAATGTACCATGTGCTCCTTATGGGCACCTAAGTCCCATCCCTCTCTTACACTTAAATTTAATTCTTTGAGAAGTGAGTTCTAAAATGATGAACCTGTCATGTCTGGAGTCATTATCCCTGTGGTAACTGTGCTCCTGGAGGTGGCTGACATGTCCCTGCAGCCCCTGAGAGAGTCAGAGCAGGGGATATCCACATGCTGTTCTTGCCTTCAGACACCTTCAACTCCCATTGGTCAATAATGGAGAACTGTGGCCAGTAGGAGCTGTGGTGTCAATGCCAATAGATGAGGGGCAGCACATGGAGCCATGGCTGTACATGCCAGCTGCTTACAGGAGTGGTGAGCAGAACTCACTCCAGAAGGGTACCTTCAGGAAAGGTGCTGTATCTGTTTGCTTGGGGGCAGGAGAGGGGGAAAGATTCCCTGACAGGAGAAGAAATGATATCTATGCTCAAGTCACACAGGGCATGGTGGATAAAGGATACACTGTGGACGCACAGCAATGCTACATGAATATAAAGGAGCTTAGACAAGTGTACCATACGACAAATCTAGCAGAACAGCTGCTCTGGTTCTGAGCCATAGACATAGGAGGGTGACGGCAGACACCCAGTACTATCCACAACAATGTTTTCATCCCATGAGGCACTGGAATTCTGGGCTAGGGTGCCAATCTGCTGTAATGGCTTTGGGATAGCTACCCACAGTGCATCACTCCTTGAGTTGATGCAATCCTGGCAGGGAGGATGTGCTCTGTCAACTACAGCCACCTAGTGGACACATGCAAAAGTCACATTTGATAAATCAGATGCTCAAAGTCAAATTAAATAAAATCAACTTATTCTGAAGTGTAGACATACCCTTAAGCTTACATTGCTGTATAGACATAGTCTAAGGAGCTGTTTAATTGCAATGTAGACATTTGGGTTCTAAGACCCTGTCAAGTGATAAGGTCCTAGCTCTCAAGTAGCAAAAGCACAAGTAACTACACCACGAACAAGCCCCTTAGCCAGAACCAGATGGCATTGGCAATTACACCCATGGAGGGCCTATCTGAGAGCTAATCTGACCCCAACGCACCAAATCCCTAGATTAAATCATCTTAAATTCTGAAGTATAACATTTAACATCCCTTTCAACAAATTGTTAGCACTAAAACCTCAGCATATTCTTGTTACCCATTTTCAATCTCTTTTTCAGTCTTGCTGAGCTTTAGTCTCACTGCAATAACCTGTGGCATAATTTCAGTCTAAATATACTTTGAGAGACAAAGTATTCTCTTTTACTGGTTTTGAATTTCTTTTGATTTCTTTGTTTGCCCCTTTGTTTCATGTTATGAGACACTAAGAACAGAGTAGCCCAATATACCTTTTCTATGCCGACCACTACTTTATATATTTATGTCCTTATTTATCTCCCTGCTAAGAAGAATAATCCCAACCTCTTTTCATGGGAGCATTTTCCCACGGCCCTAGTCATTTTCATTGATGTTCTTTCAACCCACTCTAATTATGAGCTATCAAAGACTTCGACTACGTTAATGAGATACTATTTCCCTTTGAAGGAACCATGCTGATTAGGCCCTATGGTATCATGATCCTCCAGATGTTTTATTATTCTGTTTTTAAAATCATCATGTCAACCAGTTTACCAGGCACAGATGTATGACACTGGTCTTTCATATCTCAGATCACCTGCACAGGTAAAACATTTGCTATCCTCCAATCCCATTTCAGTTGCTCTTTTTAAACAGGATTGCATACTGTTAGAAAAAAAACCCTGCCCCCCCTGTAAAAACTTTGGCCAGGCTGCTCTTGCTATAGTGGGCTGCAGTACTCCTTGGGAGAAACCGGCCCACCCTTTCTGCATACCATTGCCTTTAGAAAAAGGGAAGGTGTGAAAAGAGGAAAATAGCCTTGGACTCTCCCACCCATCACCTTGGCATGAGAACTGCGGGGCTTACCTGGTTGCATGAAACCTGCACATTTTCGGCCCAACCCACAGACCCCCACTTGGTGACCGCTGGGCCGTATATGGTAATATGCAAGCACGGGAATGCGATGTGCAGACTTGGTGATAAATACCCATCGCACAGTTCGCACAAGGAGGTCTTCGCAACACACGTACCACCATGTGTGTGCCTTTCCGTATACTTCAAAGCTCTGCCGGCCTGATCAACCAACCAGTCACCTCCCCCGACTCCCGGGAGTAACCAAGGCCTTCGCAACCGAACCGATTTCTTTGAAATATTCCGTATGCTGTGTAAATTGGTTTGTATGATTTGATTTTCTTTGTTGTATAAGCTTAGTGTTGTAATTGTTTTTGGGTAGTACATAGAGTTGGTAGTTACCACTGTTATTTAATTAGTGTAGCTGGATATCTTTAGAATAGAGACTATTCCTCTTGCCGTTCCCATCCTTATATTTCTGACAAGTTTAACTAGAAATTGCAGAATATAATAAATACTCTAAATTCATTATCATGGTCTATTAAAAATATTAGAATAAATACTATAAATTCATCACTGTCATAAATAAATATCTTTTATTTACTAAAACGGTCCACCTGGTTCTGTTCTTCCCCCCCTTGGGTATGCATCATCGGACCTAGGGTTCTCTCGACACATACTTCTATTAGCAATTCATTCATTTCCTACTTGGACTTTTTCAGAACTCATGGAGGTATCTGCTCCCTGTTACTTATTGCTTTAAGTTATCAGTTTGTTTTAGTATCTCTTCTAATGCCTTGATTTCTGATAATCCCTCACATTTAAAAAAAAAAAAAAAAAGGAGCAGATCTTGGTTAGGAATCTTTCCAACAGCCTCTCTGGTGACATCTGATACAGAGAAGTTATTCAACTTCTCAGCAAAATCCTTAGCTTTCTTAATTACTCCTTCTTTAACACCCGGTAGTCCACATGACCAGGGTTCGACAAACTATACAATCTACTCGCCCGTGGCGAGTAGATTTCAGCTGTGTTCCCCATTCATTCGCGGCGCACACATGAGCAATGCGGCTCTTGCGCATGCGCAGTACAGGGCTGGCGAGCGGTTTTCCCCGTCATTTGTCAAGCCCTGCACATGACCCACCAATTATTTCACCATGCTTCTGACATATTAAGAGTTTCTTGATCTTAGCTATTTGTTCTCTGAAATTCACTTGTAGCCCTTGTAGTTTCTCTCTTACCCTACTGCTTGCTGTAAACTGAACTACTGCTGAATGGCTTCACTGGAGTTAATCTCCATATTTTGAAGGATTGCTGTTTGACTGGAAAAGTCTCTTGAACCTTGCCACGTAAGCTTACATTTTCCCTTCCTGTTTTCTTTTTGCTCAGGATTGTGCGTGCCCATTGAGACAAAAGTCTCCTACGGAGGGTGGAAGTTTTTTGTCGCCAAAATTGTAATTTGTCACAACTTTAGTCACGTTTGGTGACAAAACTTGCAAGTGTAGAAAAGGCCTGAGAAGATCTAAGGAAGGCTTTCTATTTCTCACTTAAACTTAACCATGTTCACTAGGGACGTAAGCAACTAACAGACTATCTGATAAGCAAAAGCTTATCATATAGCTGGCTAGTCCCTCTACTAGACACTTCCTTTCCACCCCCCCACGTGTGGAACAGGAGCCGTCTTAAAAGCTAGTTCCCCCCAGCACCATCTCCACAGGGAGAAGGGGGAGTAGTGCGACTGGTCGTGAGCCGGGAATCAGCTGATTCCCGGCTCATGCCCAGTCCCAGACGCTGCACCTCTGCTTTTTAAAGGTATTAAGCACCTGCTGGCTCTTAATACATTTAAAAATCAGAAGCGCAGCGGGGGAGGAAGGGCTGGCACAAGCTGGGACAGCTGATTCCTGGCTCACTCTGGGTCCCTCCTGTTGTGCTTTAGCCTTTTAAATGTAGGGCAGGAGCTAACCCAGCTGCGGTGTCCCTGCATATCGACTAATCAACTAGTCGATGGGAAATCCACTGACTAGTTGATTAGCTGATAAAACTAAATTTAACATCCCTACCATGTACTGTTGTTAACCTAAGCATTTTTAGGTCGTTTTTCCATATAAATTTATTCCCACTCAAGCAAAAGGTAGTTTCTTCAAATAGAGGAGACCTCAACATTATCAAGTGAACAAGTTTAGCAAGATTCCACAAATTTTTCTTACGATTCCCATAGTAACTAACTGCAAATGATTTAAGTCATTACCTTAGGTAGCTGCAAGAGTCACTTCCTTAGCATTTTCCCACACAAATGAAAGTATTCACAGATTTCAGCATAAGCAAGATGTCAGTTGTTTGTATTTGCAAATGCATCAGAATTGGCAAATATTATCTATACAGAATAAAAGCTAGGCTTTGTCACAAATATACTGAGAGCACAAAGAAAATTCATATCAAGAATTCCATCCATTCCTTAAGAATATTTAGTAAGTTAACTCATTACCTTATTTATTATACCACGTACTTCACTTGCAAAATCACGGGAACATATTTCCAAGTGAAAAATCTTCCCACAGTTTGATACACAGGCTCCTAGCAGCTGACAACAGAAATAAAATTACAAAAAATGTTGAAGACAGCTATGGCAATGATTTATCCAAAATAAGTGTTTGTTAAAAAAATAAAGTGATTAGTCAGGGCTAAATTCCACCTTTAGATAAACATGCAAATCCCACCAACTTCATCTGGAGTTAAACAGGTTTATTATCATAAACAGAATTTGGTCATAATGGTTGCCTGAGTACATAAAGATACAGATGTAAAGTTCTGTAAAATAAAGTATAGCATACTTACTGTGAGTGCTTGCAAAGCAACATGTGGTACCTTATGACTGACTCTCTTAATTATGGCTTTGAGACAATCTTTTGCTCTAGGAGAGAATTAAGAAATATCAGAGATAGTATGGCATAGTTCAGTCACTGTGAATCACAAATGAAAATGTCCCCATGTAGTTAACAATTAGTGAAGTCAAGTCTGCCAATGAAATGCACAATACGTGTTTTAAAAGCTAACATTTTAGCCAACCCAACATTTGATATTTCTACAAAAATGCAAGTTTGGGAATTGCCACCCATGGTTGGAGACACAACCTCATGAATGGGATGACCTGAAATAGATAAGAAGGAAGAAGACACTCTACAATACAAAGCAATTACCATGTTTTAAAGAGTGCATTCTGTCTAGATATTGAAAAAAAATCTCCAGGTGGATAGAAACAATTATTTTTTTATTTCAGTCTTATTTGCACACTGCTAGCTCTTTATAATTATTTTAGAGTCAATATGCTGAAGCAGATTTTTTTTTGTTTTCACTTTTTTTCTTTAATTTCCTAAATGTTAGAAAGATTTCAGGTGTTACAGATATTTTTTCAACTAAGAAGTCTCCGATAAAATGTTCATCTATACTAAGCGTAACTTTAATTTTTTTAAACAGTGCCTATGGTAAATAAAGAGCACTATAACCATATTATATTCAAAGTCTAAAACACTTTTAATTATTAACAATGATACTGTTTTGTTTTAAAATGACAAAGATTTTTTAGCACTGAGTGAAATAAGTTAAAATACAATTGTACCCCCCATGCTGCATACACTTTGGTACATGCTTGATTTTAAGTGTGTGTGTGTGTATATATATATATCTGATGAAATCACTTTTAAGAGTAACTCAAATTACATACCTGTTTAAATGTTTCCTGTATCAGGGTCTACATTTTAAATATTTTGATTTTTGCCTTCAGCAATTTTGTAAACTTCAAATAAGATATATCATCAGTAGTGGCATTAAAAATTATAATGATTATACAGAGATTTTAATCTACAATTACAATAGCACAAAGTCTAAAAATAGTTTTTAAACAGCTTAAATCTGATTTAAAAGTAGGGTTTTGTGTAGCAAAACAGATATAAATCATTCTATTCTATCCCCAATAGCTGAACACAAAACATTTGAACTGTACAAGAATGGACATGAAAAGTGTAAGGAAAAAAGTTTAGACTTGTTTCTCTCAAAGGCTAAAGAGCCCAAAATCATAGTTTTCCAGTTAGACAAGTAACACAGAAGATCCTTCTCAAGTTAGAGGTTGCAACCACGATTACACCACTTCCGATAACAAAATCACCACCTCCCTCAAAAAGATAGTTTAAATGCTTTCAGTGGAGATATATATAGGAAAGAGAGAGAGCGAGAGAGAGAGTGTCCAACCCTCCCAATGTTTGTTTATAATTAACATTTCATCATTTTATCAGCCCACATAAATAAGAGACTGACTAAACAAGATGTGACTATGCAGTGTGTAATGTCACATGTATAAAAAATGTTTTCTGGTCATATTTAGTTCAATAAACTTAAACATCAGCATTATTTGCAAAATCAGGCAAAAGATTTCCGAGATTTCTGTGTTGATAGTTCCACAGATGCAAAGATAACTACAGGCAGTCCCCGAGTTACACGGATCCGACTTATGTCGGATCCGCAGTTAAAAACGGGTTTGCTCCCCATCTCCCTGGTCTGCTGGTCTCCAGAGAGACGGGGAGCAAAGCTAAACTTAAACATCAGCATTATTTGCAAAATCAGGCAAAAGATTTCCGAGATTTCTGTGTTGATAGTTCCACAGATGCAAAGATAACTACAGGCAGTCCCCGAGTTACACGGATCCGACTTATGTCGGATCCGCAGTTAAAAACGGGTTTGCTCCCCATCTCCCTGGTCTGCTGGTCTCCAGAGAGACGGGGAGCAAAGCTGCGGAGCACACTGGCAGCGGGACAGCCCAGACGCACCGCGGCTGTCCCGCTGCCGGCGTGTTCCGCGGCTTTGCTCCCCGTCTCCCTGGTCTGGGGAGACATGGAGCAAAGGCGAGGGATGGCAGGAGACAAATCGCTTGATCATTGTCTTCGGTCCACCCTCTCTGGGGCACCTGGTGCTGGCCACTGTCGGTAGACAGGATACTGGGCTAGATGGACCTTTGGTCTGACCCAGTACGGCTGTTCTTATGTTCTTATTCAGATTTAATCTACTTTTTCAAAATGGGAAATTAGGAGGAAAAAAAATTCATAATAATTGCCTATTATCATTACAAAAACTGAAGTGTTTTATATTAGTTTCTGCTAACCTTATTTAGGACTGTTGAACTACTGCAATCTAAAGAAAAATCTGTTTTTCTAAGAGGTTTTACAATATACCTCTTATATAACAAAAGAAATGTAATTTAATAAGGGACACTTTGTTTATTCATGTACAGGCAGTCCCCGGGTTACGTACAAGATAGGGACTGTAGGTTTGTTCTTAAGTTGAATCTGTATGTAAGTCGGAACTGGCGTCCAGATTCAGCTGCTGCTGAAACTGACCACCAGTTCCGACTTACATACAGATTCAACTTAAGAACAAACCTACAGTCCCTATCTTGTACGTAACCCGGGGACTGCCTGTACATTATAAAACATGAGTTACCTTTGACTGATAAAAGCCAGCCAAACTAGAGACAAAGATCAGCTGTTATATTGGACTATTACAGGATGCTTCAACTACTGTTTGTATTTAAATATATTAAACTTCATTTTGGTCTTGACTTATTCTTCTCCATGTTGCCCTCAATCCGTCTTATGCTCGTCTATGACACATACAATTTTTCATCAAATGTAACTTTCCCTTTCAATAAGTTCCTGCAATGAACCTAGATTATTTTTTCCTCCTTTTGGCCTGCATGCTTTAGGGATTTCATGCCACATTATTTAATACAAATAACTATCTACTGTGCAATATGGCATGAAAATTGGTATGAGTCCAATGTACACCAATTATTCTGCTGGAAATCCTTTTGGAAGAAAATTTAAAATAGTTTCAAAACTACTTCTTCAGGCACTTTTAAACACAACTATGGACATTGTTAGTACTTTTTATCAAAGTGCTAATTGACCATATTAATTTCTGCATAGCTGGCACAGATATGGAAGCTCCACTCTTCCAACAGTGGTTCACACTGTTTTGTTTTTTTTTAAATGAACGTGAAATAAGATATTGTGAAGCTGAAACATCTTACCCATTAGGAGTACTTCCAACTTTGTCACATATATCCATAATAAGACCCCAGTCCTCACTGGTATTGTATTCATTTGTGGCCTTTTCTACAAAGAAAAAGAAAGGACAGACTTTAGATTTATCATTTAGTGACTAGCTCCTGTTACAGGAGCACCTTTTATACATAATTACAAGGGTGATATTTTTCTAAAGTAACCAATGCTGACATTTACTGGTTTCTATAGCCCTGTTTGCAAGTTTAGGTAATATTTTATGATATACACAAGTCATTTTATTACACAGCAAGATTAAGTAGTACGATTAGCATTCATCAGAAACAAAAGTCAAAAGACTGTACTGGTTTCCGTGTCCTGAACCAGAGAATTTGCCAGACCTAGGGTTGCCAGGTGTCCAATTTTGAACTGGACAGTCCAGTATTTGAGCTTTCTGTTCAGGAAACAAATTGAGAAAATATAAATGAGAAAATATAAATGTCCAGTATTTTCTAAATAAGGTGTAATGTAGATTGTGATGTAATGTCAAGTGTATCCGGTATTTTTGTTGAAACCATCTGGCAACTCTATTTGGACCATAGAAGGTCAATATTGTCTAACAGCATTACCAACACTTCCACTGCTTACTGGGCTGTTAGAAGATATTTACAGACAAATTAGAGCTAAACAGCAGCACAGAACTCTGAAAGCCAGGACTGATGGCTATAAGCAAAATTTATAGGAATGTGGGAAACTTGGCCACACCCATGATAAGCAGACATCTGGCAAACTAAAATCATGCCGGACCATAGATATTGCTGGACCAGAGTACAAGACTACAGAGGTTCAACCTGTATTTCAAAGTTTAATGCTGTAAATTATTAACTATAGGGATGTAATAGTGTAGTTGATTAACTGATAAGCAAAAGCCTATAGGTTAATGCTATAGATTACACTCATTTCCCCCCCCCCCCATCCCTGCCAGTACATTTTCTAGCAGGCTGGCCAACACTCCAGCTCAGTCGTGGCTTGTGACGGGTCCGGGACCTACCCCTGCTGCAGCTCTGCATTCAAAGTGTATTAGAAACTGGGCAGGCAGGCAGCTCGGCTCATTACTGGTTCAAGCCAGGTCCAGGTCCTACCCCCGCTACAGCTCTGCATTCAAAGTGTATTAGGAACTGGGCAGGGAGACAGCCCGGCTCAGTTCCGGTTTGTGCTGGGTCCGGGAGCTCAGACTCACCCTAGACAGGGGCTGGTGCCTCTTTTGCATTCAAAGTGTATTAGAAACTGGGCAGGCAGGCAGCTCGGCTCATTACTGGTTCAAGCCAGGTCCAGGTCCTACCCCCGCTACAGCTCTGCATTCAAAGTGTATTAGGAACTGGGCAGGGAGACAGCCCGGCTCAGTTCCGGTTTGTGCTGGGTCCGGGAGCTCAGACTCACCCTAGACAGGGGCTGGTGCCTCTTTATCACAACAGGCAGCTCGTCCACAAGGGGAGCTGAATTTTAAACTGGCTCCCCTTGCAGACTAGCTCCCTCCTGGCACCCTCTGATACAGAGGCAGCAGCACAGAGTGGCAAGGGGCTCCTCAGGAATGAGACCGGAGTGCTGCTGGCTCTGCCCCCGAGGTCTACAAAATAGTCAACTAACTGATAAGTATTCATGAGGTTACTTGACTATTCAATTAACTGATATTTAACATCCTTAATATACTATGCTGCATAATTAGTTTAGTAGTTTCATGTTGAGGTCCTTTGTATTTAGATTTTTCTGAAGGTTAAGTCTATACATAGTTACACGTTTAGTAAATGAAGTTAAGAATCACCTTTTCTTTATAGTCTTTTTTTATTGTTTTCATAAACTAGCCTCTTCAACTGTCTTCTTAAAATACACACTTCAATGAGACTTCCTATGACAGTTCACCACTGTCAGGAATTGGTAAGAGGAAAAGACAAAGCAATAAACACAAACTACTCTTTTACAAAACTCATGGTTCCTCCTAAAGTGTTTCTGCTCATCCACCTTTTATTGTGTTCCACCCACTCCACCTCCCCCGGCAGCCTAACGTCATTTAGTTACGTACTTACAAATTCAACTGTAAGATCTCACAGTGGGACCAGATCATTTTAATCACATAAGCAAACAAACAAATCATTTTCAAGAGACAAGTTTAAAAGTTTGTGTTGTCTTAAGATTTATTTTTAATATTGTTACAGTTTTAAAATAGCTTTCTAATGCTATTCAATATGGAAAAGCTAACACGCAGATTTATGCTTTGGGTTCCATCAAATACTCTTCATAAGCAGGCCTATCTTAATGATCATAATCTTTGTGGTACCTGGTTACAGTAAGAGAAACCACCAAATCCCCTTAAGTCTCTAAGGGTACGTCTACACTTGCTCCCTAGTTCGAACTAGGGATGCAAATGTAGCCAACTGAAATTGCTAATGAAGCGGAGATTTAAATATCCCGCACTTCATTAGCATAATCTCACCCACGTACTATTCCACTCGCCAGATGATCTGAAACAGGAAGTGCACTCCGGGATGCGTTAGTTCGAATCAAACTCCTTGGCTCAAACTAATGTTACTCCTCAAAAAATGAGTTACTCAAACGTTACTCCTCAAAGTCAAAGTGCATCTCCTCACTAGGCACTTGAGGTCAACATAGTACATCCCCGACAGTGTGGCTACCTTCAACTTTAACAGTAATACACTGTGAGTAGCCATCCCACAGTTACTGCCAACCATTTGTATTCTGGGTTAGGCTTCCAGTGCCTGATGGGACAAACACACTGCAGAAGCTGGTTCTAGGTGCATATCATCAGCCTCCCAATGATGCATTTACCTCCTCCCGCCCTGCACTTGAAAGGAACAGCAAATAATTTTTATGTTCCCCATCTTCCCTGGTTATCTGTGCAGATGCCATAGCATGGCAAATATGGACCCTGCTCAGCTACAAACTGCTGTGGCAAGCACTGCAAACACCTCACACATTATGCTGCCGTTTCTCCAGAGCCTAGCCAGGAGCTGCCGGAACAAGAAAGAATGTGAGGAGGCCACAAATACAGACATGAAGAAACCCATTAAGTGGAGCAATTGGCATGTGCTGGCAGTAGTTGATCCCATTGACACAGTGGAACGCTGATTCTGCTTCCACGAGACAAGCACAGATTGGAGGGACCACAGTTACGCAGCTATGGGATGATGATCCATGGCTGCAAACTTTCACATGCATAAGACCACTTTCACGGAGGTTTGTGAACTGCTTTCCCCCATTCTGAAGCACAGCAATACCAGAACGAGACCTGCTCTGACAACCCTGGCAACTGCCCTGTGGAAGCTTGCAATGCCAGACTCCTACTGGTCAGCTGGGAATCAATGTGGAGTGCGTAAATCTACAGGGGACTGCTGTGATCCAAGCAGCCGCGATCAATACCCTTCTAGTAGGAGGATAATGACTCTGGGAAAAGTACAAGTCTGGGAAAAGTGCAAGACATAGTGGATAGTTTGACCGCAAGTGGGTTCTCTAACTGTGATGGGGCAATACTTAGAATACATATCCCTATCTTGACACCACAGCACCTTGCCAAAGAGTATATAAACTGCAAGATGTACTTGATGGTGTTGCAGGTGCTGGTGGATCACAAGGGTTGTTTCACCAACATCAATGTAGGATGGCTGGGAAAGGTGCACAACATACACATTTTTAAGAAATTTGGTCTCTGCAGAAAGCTGCAAGATGGAACTTTCTTCCCGGATTTGAAAATTACCATTGGAGGTATTGAAATGCCAATATAGTTATGCTTGGACCTTGCTCCTGTGGCTCATGAAGCTGTACACATGCAGTCTGAACAGAGGTAAGCAACAGTCCAACTGCAAGCTGAGCAAGTGCAGAATGGTGGTAGAATGGGCCTTTGGTCATTTAAAAGGATGCTTTCACAGTTTACTGACTAGGATATACATCAGCAAAAGAAATATTCTCATTGCTGTGGCTGCTTTGCTGTGTGCTCCATAATATATGTGAAAGTAAGGGGGATAAGTTTCTGGTGGGATGGGGAGCTCGATGCAGATTACCTAGCTGCAAATTATGAGCAGCCATACAACAGCAGAATAAAGAGACCCAATTGAGGGGCACCGCGAACCAGAGACTTTGAAAACCAGTTTCATGAATGACCAGACGGCAATGTAAGTGTATGTCACGTATGTTGCTTTTAACCAGGTGCCCCTTGCATATGGGTTCTGGCTTGTAGACTGTTCCCCCCCGACATATTTGACACAAACATTAAAGATCCTGTTCTGAAATTACACATTTTTACTTAGAAAACAGAGAACAGAACAGAAACAGAAAAGGAGTTCAAGGCATGATCTCAAAGGCAAGCGGTTTATTACAATATCCCAGTGGGAATGACAGCCCTCTGTTCCAGGAGACATCCCTACAAGTTGAGTGAAAGGCTGACTGTGACTAGCCCTCTACCCTCACATTCTAGAGTGCCTGGGGGAAGCAGTTATGAAACCCAGTGAGGCGGGCAGGTGATTTATCATAGGGTGCAGGAGACTATGCTCCAAAGGCTTTTCCTGTGCCTCTCCCAGGTGCCTCGTCAGCTATGTTTGCTCCCCCATGAGCCTCAACATCTCATCCTGAGTCTTACACTTGCATTCCCTGCATGGTCTCCTCTCCTCCTGTTTGGAACACATGAGCTGTAACATTATTCTCCTTCATGTATTCAGTTATGCTCTGTCAGTGTAGGTGGACTGCATATGCTCATTAAACATTTCATCCTGTGTACTCTTTCATTCTGATCTGTGATAGCCAAAGTACTGGAGGATCTGGGGAAGTGGATAACAGTCACTGTTGCAGCTGCATTGGGGAAAAAAAACAAGGGTACATTTTAGAGGAGATACACTGTAAAACACAGAAGGTTTACGCCTTTACAATGAATGAAGCACTATGCTGCACAAAAGGCATGTGTTATGTACAAGACCTAAGTTATCATTTTAAGCACCCGCTAGAGAGGAAGACAACACAGCACCGGGCAGCTGGACTTGGTTTAGTGGCAGACACAATAAGCAACAGTTTGGGGCTCTTGCTCTTTTGCTTCTGCTTTGAAAATATAC